GAGTGCAATGGCGCGATCTCGGCTCACCGCAACCTCCGCCTCCTGGGTTCAGGCAATTCTCCTGCCTCAGCCTCCTGAGTAGCTGGGATTATAGGCACGCGCCACCATGCCCAGCTAATTTTTTTTGTAGTTTTAGTAGAGACGGGGTTTCACCATGTTGACCAGGATGGTCTCGATCTCTTGACCTCGTGATCCACCCGCCTCGGCCTCCCAAAGTGCTGGGATTACAGGCTTGAGCCACCGCGCCCGGCCCCAATAAACTTCTTATACATTTCGAAGCAATGAACCCAAACATCGAACGATTTGCAAGGATTGAACGGATGGCGCACGATGTGTTTCATCTGTATCATGAAATTAATGAAGAAAAAAAGAAACATACAATTCAGACAAAGCTCACCATGTTTATGAAAAAACCAACTCCGGTAACCCCAACTGCTACCTCAGATGACGACATCAACGATCCGCAGCCAAGCACCAGCGGCCAGTAAAATGTTTCGTACATGTTTATATATTTTGATATGTTTTGCAATTGGGAAAATGTTTCCTATGGTATTTTTTACACCTGTATTTTGTATTTTTGTATGCACCTGTATTTTGTAATTTTGTATGTTTTGCAAATATTAAACCAGCTGTACTGGTAATGCAGTGTTTTACTTAAACCTGACAAATGTAAAAATAAGAAACAAAATGGTGTAGAGATGATACAAATGGCATAAAATGAACAAAGAAAATTATGATATATAACAATAATGAAAGAAAATTATGATAAAATATGACTTAAAGATTTGTATAGCCGGGCGCGGTGGCTCAAGCCTGTAATCCCAGCACTTTGGGAGGCCGAGGCGGGTGGATCACGAGGTCAAGAGATCGAGACCATCCTGGTCAACATGGTGAAACCCCGTCTCTACTAAAAATACAAAAAAAAATTAGCTGGGCATGGTGGCACGTGCCTGTAATCCCAGCTACTCAGGAGGCTGAGGCAGGAGAATTGCCTGAACCCAGGAGACGGAGGTTGCAGTGAGCCGAGATCGCGCCATTGCACTCCAACCTGGGTAACAAGAGCAAGACTCCGTCTCAAAAAAAAAAGATTTGTATAACATAATTTCACAATACTGTACATATAGCCTACTTAACTTACTACCAAATCGTGTTACGACCAGTCGGTCGGAACCAATCGTGGTCGTAAGTGGAGCACTAGCTATAAGATGTAACTGCAGAGTTGCTTTTGTTGCAGTTTAATAATTTTAAAAATATGGCCCCAAGTCTTCAGATTTATGGCAATTAATCTTAGGTAACTTATTTGGATATGCACTTTGTTCAAGTAAGTGAGTGAACACACACAAAAAAGTTGGAAAGGGATAGAAAATGAGAGAAGGAAAGAAGAGAAAGGATCTCCACCATAGGCTTGATATTCAAAGTCGCAAACTTTAAGACAAATCAATTGGAAAGTGGATATCAACACTGCAGAAAGATTTTTCATTTTACACAAGGAATACAAGCCTGCAGTGAACAGTAACTAGGATGTTTTTATTTTGCTACATTTGGCTTACATCTAAATTTTTAAAAACAAATCTAGCAAATAAAGCAAAGTATGTCTGTAGTTAATTATATTTACAAAAGATTATCTGAATTATTTCTAGTTTTTGGAATAGCTACCATGAGTCCCACGCCATAGCTCCATTTTATTGCTAGGTCATTTTTTAAAAATCATCTAGTGATAACTGTTACTATTTTATTATGTGTTCTGCCATTTAAAATTACATAATCATGATTTTTTATGTAAATGGGATCACAGCCTGCACACTGCTGTATTAGTTGCTTTTTGAGTTGGCGATACAGCATTAGCAGCCTGTGTTTTCTTCCGAGGGCTGCCAAACAAAGTGAATGACTTAAAACAGTAGACAAGTATTACAGGTTTAGAGGCTGGAAGTCCAAAATCAACATGCCTGCAGGGCCACGTTCCTTCCAAAACTAAGTATGACCTTTTGTGTCTTTTGGGGGGCATTTTATGTATTTTTTTCAATTTGACAGTCAGTTATTTATTTATTTATTCACCTTTTTTTTTGAGATAGGGTCTCATTCTGTCACCCAGGTTATAGTACAGTGGCACAATTATAGCTCACTGCAGCCTCAAGCTCCTGGGCTCAAGTAATCGTCCTGCCTCAGCCTCCCATGTAGCTGGTACTACAGGCATGTGACATCACACCTGGTTAATTAAAAAAAGTTTTTTTTTTTTGTAGAAATGGGGTCTCTTGATATTACCTAGGCTGGTCTCAAATTCCTGCTTTAAATGATCCTCCTGCCTCAACCTCTCAACGTGGTGGAATTACAGGTGTGATCCACTGCTCCCTACCTATATATTTTTAATTTTAAAAAATATATATTAAATTTTTTAAAATAAATATGGGACACTTCACAAACTTGTGTGTCATCCTTGCGCAGGGGCCATGCTAACCTGCTCTGTATTGTTCTAACTTTTAGTATATGAGTACCATTTTTTTTTCAAGACAGAGCCTCACTTCATCACCCAGGCTGGAGTGCAGTGGTAGGATCTTGGCTCGCTGCAGCCTCCACCCCCTGAGTTCAAGTGATTCTCGTGCTTCAGCCTCCCAAGCAGCTGGAATTGTAATACCAGCTGTAATTGTAATTGTACACCACCACGCCCGGCTAATTTTGGTATTTTTAGTAGAGATAGGGTTTCACCATGTTGGCCAGGATGGTCTCAATCTCCTGACCTTGTGATCCACTCTCCTTGGAGTGAGCCAGGATTGCACCACTGCACTCCAGCCTGGGCAACAGAGGAAGACTTCATCTCAAAAAAAAAAAAAAAGAAAAAGAAAAAGAAAAAAAGAAAGAAAGAAAAGAAAAAGTAACCCCATAGTGAGCTCAGCTCAGGGGTAAGTCCTGAATATTCTAATGGCCAATCCATTCCCCTTCCCAGTGACTGGTTTATGGGGTGGACATATGACTAGTATCTCATCAGTGACGTAAAGAGGAACCCGACTGGGCGCAATGGCTCACACCTGTAATCCTAACACTTTGGGAGGCCAAGGCAGGCAGATCACTTGAGGTCAGAAGTTCAAAAAACCAGCCTGGCCGACATGGTGAAACCCCATCTCTACTAAAAATAAAAAAAAAAAAAAAATCAGCCAGCCATGGTGGCAGGCGCCTGTAATCCCAGCTACTCAGGAGGCTGAGGCCAGAGAATCACTTGAACCTGGTAGGCAGAGGTTGCAGTGAGCCAAGATCACACCTCTGCACGCCAGCCTGGGTGACAGAGTGAGACCCTG